CTTCAGGTCAGTGAAGTACAGCTTAGGGTGGAGATATAGGACTTGGGCCACTCATGGGCAGGCCAGGCCCACCTTGGTTTGTGGGATTTGGGAGGTAGCTGTACTTACCTCACCAACCTGCAGGGATTCCTTCCAGCCAATCAGGTAGTATGCATGTAACAAGTGAAGAACTCACAAGGAAGAGTGACCAATCAACTACACATGGAAAACATATATCCTACAGTAACTTGAGCAGCAATAAAAGATTCACATGTTGAAGACTGACCCAGACACAGATGGATCATGAAGATGATTGTTTTTTATTTTTTTTATTTCTTTATTTCTATGAACTTGCTTATGAAAAAAGAGGAGACATTGCCAGGATCAGTAAAAGAAAGATTAACAAACAGAGTCAGAGAGCATACACAGAAAAAAAAAAAGGAAAGAAAAATGGAGAAGGGGGGGGGGGTTGGTGGTGAGAAAGGTATATATATATGTATAGCTATATGTATGTATATACACATAGATATAGATATCATGGTCTGTAGATGTAGTATTTTAACACAAAGAGAGACATGACACAGACATATGTATGTAAAAAAAATGATGAATATAGGACTAGGGTTCTGTTTTTGTGAAAAGAAGTTGAATTGACAATCAGTGACAGAAAAAAAAAAAAACAAGGCACAAAATAAAACTATGTAACACAATCAATTAATCAATCAACATTGAAAAAAAAAAAAAAATTGAAGTGATATCAAATGAACCTGATGAAGGGTTAACCAAAAAAAAAAAAGAAGGAAACAATCAGTCAGGGTTAGTTGATGACAATGAAATGGAATTTTTTAAGTTAAACAAGGAGAAGATAAGAAAGCTTACTGAAAAAACATTCAATAATTCAAGACCACCTCATCCCCAGCAGGAGTATCAAGGTCGTTATATGCGAGAACAGTTTTAGATCGAGGATCAGACGCAACGAGAGGGGGGAGTGGACCATTGGAGGTGGTTGATCCGGCGAAGGACCCATTAGTCGGCCGAGTGAAATCGTCTCTTCGGGATCGTTTATGATCATGATGATGAGGGGGAGCAGGTAATCCAAGATCATCGGCGAAGTGTCTGGAAATTCGATCGCCGAGACGACGTGCATTTCCATTGGGAGG